GTTTCAATTCACTGATCCAGTATTTTTTCTAAAAACTTTACTGAAATTTACCACCTTCTCAGTAACAGATTTTTTTAATTTAATTTTATTTATTTATTTATTGTTTTTGGCTGCGTTGGGTCTTCACTGTTGCACACAGGCTTTCTCTAGTTGTGGCTAGTGGGGGCTATTGCTGTGGCTTCTCTTGTTGCGGAGCACGGGCTCTAGGCACGCGGACTTTAGTAGTTGCTGCACGTGGGCTCAGTAGTTGTGGCTCGTGGGCTCTAGAGCGCAGGCTCAGTAGTTGTGGCACGTGGGCTTAGTTGTCTGCGGCATGTGGGATCTTCCCGGACCAGGGCTCAAACCTGTGTCCCCTGCATTGGCAGGTGGATTCTTAACCACTGTGCCACCAGGGAAACCCTCAATAACTGTTTTTAGTTGAAAAAGAAGTAGTCCCTATCTCCAGCTGCAGTATGATCATATAAATAATATTTGACTAAATTATACCCTATGTGTATCTGACAAGCATAAAAGAGTTTTGCCCAGTGGCCTGAAATGTTCACCCAGAGTTTTATGGCTTGCAGGGGAACATTTAACATTCAAAGTACATTGGAAAGGAAAGTCTAAGAGCTTTAATTATATGATTACCTTGCCTTCACAGGAAATCGTTTCCTTCTAAATATTGTGCTTTATCTGTTCTGATTTTTGAATTGATGGCAAACCTTCTGGCATTTGTTTTTTTCTCTGACCCCAGGCAATTAACAACGGTAGAGGAAAATAGCTCTAAGAACTTTACCAAAATTGTGCAATTTTCTAATACAACACAAGAGGGCAGGTTTTGCTTTACTGTGAGCCTAATTCCTCTCACTCAAAATGGTCATTTGTGCTCATTACAAATTCAGAAACACCCAATAACATACAAAGTGAATGAGTAATCAGAGTGTCTACTCTGGCAGTGAAATCTCTAGTATTTTAATAAAAAGGGACAAGTTTAAGCTTCTCTCAGTTATGTTTGGGAGACACTGTGATAGTTTTAGCTTTGTTATAAACCAGCAAAGGAGCAGAGAATGGCTAGAAGAAAGGACCAAATTCCGTCATGTTACATCCAAGAATTTGGGCTTGAATCAACGTGGCAAATAACATAAGTGGGTTAATGGTTTCTGCCAAATAAAAATACTGTTGGTGATAATATACAGAGCATTCAGGCCTTGAATAGGAAGCTTGTGTGTTTGTTTGTTTTGTTTCGCTTTCAAAAATTTTATCCTATTGCTCACAATTTTGTGTGTTGCTTTCAAGATTTCATTAAACTACCTACACAAGTATAATTAAATTCACAGGAATTATTTTCATCTTGAACTGCCATTATAAGTAAAGTATCATGTTATCTTTGAGAATTTCTTTAGTTTCACCAGTGGGTCCATCCATGTAAGAAAGGCACTGATTTTGCCTGGCTAAATCATTTGCCCAATAACTCCTTCCATGGAAACAAGGCTTTTAAGACATCAGATGGTGGAAGGCCCTATAATGATACTGTGAGGTCTTAACTTTCTACTCTTGTCCGTATGAATGGTAGAATTAGGGCCTACCAATGGTGGGGAAAAGATACACCCAAGAAGAAAATATGGCTGAGAAGTAGCCCCTCGTATTAGGTTGTATGGAGTAAAATTCTATCTAGCATAGGCACAACTCAGAATCTGAAAGATAGGCTGCTATTCATTTCATGGCAGCAATACAAAACCCCATCATCTTATGTTTTATCCAGTACATGTCAAAACACATGCCAGAAGCCCTGAATGAAAAGTTCTACTTTGAAAAAACAAAATTAAAAAAAAAAAAAGTTCTACTTTGAGATTAGTTTATGCATTCAAAAAATATTTACAGAGTAATCAGGATGAACAAGGCCCTGGAGAAATAGGAAGAGTTGGGTTTTGCCACTGCATTGAAGAGAGTAGCTATCTCCCACTGAGGGGGCAGGGGGTAGGGGAGGGGAGGTGAATTCGCTCTTTTATGTGCCTGTATCAATTAACCACCACCGTTTTCTAGCTATTTATTTAAAGTGCTTTGATACAATGGCATTGGAGCTGTACAGAGAGCTGTACAACCTGACCTCTAGAAGCTTCAAGTCTAGAAGTGGAAGCAAACGCCATGTAACCATTACCTCTATTGGCTCTAATTTCCTTCTTCGGGGCGTCTCCAACAAGCTGACTGAGCTGGAAGGCTCCTCTAGGAGGAGCCTGCCTCCCTGGACAGTGACTTCAAGTGGCTTCCCTACTCACCCCCCACTCCAATTTCAGTCTTTAGACTGTAGGGACATCAGAGATGACTCTTTACCTGGGAAAAGGGGTAGTATCTCCTCTTCCTGCCTATATCATAGAGAGCTAGGAAGTAGCAGTTGCTTAGAAACTCAATAGAAAGTAGAAACACCAGCATATTTAAGGACTTCGTTTTTATTTAATTGAAGTATAATTGATATAAAATATTACACAATTTACAGGTATACAGTATAGTGATTCCGAATTTTTCAAGGTTATACTCTATTTAGAGTTATTATAAAATATTGGCTGTATTCCCCGTGTGGTACAATATATCCTTGTAGCTTATTTCATACCTGACAATTTGTACTTCTTAATCCCCTACTTCTGTCTTGCCCTTCCTCCCTTCCCTCTCCCCATTGGTAACCACTAGTTTGTTCTCTATATCTGTGAGTCTGCTTCTTTTTTGTTTCATTCACTACTTTATTGTATGTTTTATATTCAAAGTATAAGTGATATCATACAGTATCTGTCTTTCTCTGTCTGACTTATTTCACTTAGCATAATGCCATCCAAGTTTAAGGACTTATTTTCAAAAGTGAAGTAGTTATTATGTATTTTATGTATATACATAAAATTTCATGTATATGTCGAGTGCCAAAAAGATGGGAATTGACGTTCACAAATTAAAAAACAATAGCCCCCAAGAGACAAACAGTAATCTGCAAAACAATATTTTTATTTTCCTCTTGAGTAAGTTTTCTACTTCTCGTTAATGTGAGATTAGAATTATTCATTAGGATTATTATAATTAACAATGTTAAATCCTAAGCAAGACACAAATTTATGTCAAAGAATTTTAGAATTAGAAGAGAATTTAATTCACAAAGGAAAGATGGTATTGGATTTCATTTCACTTTTGAATGTTAGCTTTTAAGAAGCGTTTCTTTTAAAATCATACTTCATATACACACAATTTTTCTAATACTACAGATAGAAGCATATAAAGCAATCTGTTCATTTTCTTCAAGGTTGAATATTTCCCCCCATCATTGAGACGTATGGCTGTACAATGCTTGGTGATATTTTCTGAGTTTATCTGCATAGTATTCACTGTGAGTAAATACCAACTTTTTACTCTACAGGTTTATTCTACCTTTAGATTTGCTGAAAGGCAGTCGTCATTGATTTATTGTAATGTTAGAAAATTCTAGAAAATTTTATTACTCTAATATGAGCTACAAAATTAGGAAACTATTTCTCTTAGGAAGGCATCATAAAACATAATATTTATGAAAAGTTGCACATACTATAGTTAAAAGGAGCTAAGTGTAAATGGTTAGTCTTTATTTCTGCCGCAGATAGATCTTGCTTTTAAACAAATCTTATGAGAATATGATGTATGAAAATTCTGATATACTCGAAGGATAAGCTAGAGGTGGTTATGTGCTTTATAGAATTATTCATAATAGTTCATCCATAAAAAGTAATTTCCCCTGGTGCTTTTAATGTATAATTGATTTATACACAACTTTTCAGGAACATACCTACCACACGCACTTATATCTTCATCTTAAGATATTTCTCTTTTGGTTTAAAAACAGGATGTAAAAATGTGTTCCCCAACAACCTTGAATTCAGAAAATAAACCTGCCAGAGTGGACCATGTGAATAACACATTGCTGAATTTGCCATGAATTCTATTAAAGGCAGGCATTGAGATCTATGCATGTGGCGCTGGTTAGAGATCCAAGCAGGGCTTCACCCCATGAAGGACTCTGGGCTGTCCTGATTCTCCTCTGCTGAGCCTACTCTCAGATATACTTTATGAGACTCACTCAAATTCAGTTCAGATTGAGCTCTGTCCATTTCTCTGGCTTCTGCAGTCTTATTCCGGGGAATAACACTGGGTATTGGTAAATCTTGCACCCTCTAGCCCCCCCATATGGAGAAGGCTCCAGGGTTCTCTTAAGTCCCATTCTTCACACACATCCATTCCAGTAGAGAGGAGCTGAAGTGAGTGGACAGAAGGGCCACCTCGGTGGCTTCACCCCTACTGCATGGATACCAGACACGAACAGATGAAACTGTCTTAAGAGCTCAAAAAATGTTAACTCGTCAGAAGTAGGGATCATCTTGATAAGTCTAAACATTGTCGTAAAGACTGCCTCATTCTCATCTCTCATAATCTGATAATTACTTAGTGGGTCATAGCCATTTAATTCTGAATTGTCGTATTTTGTATGGATGGTTTGCTTTTAAATGATAAGACGCAATTAGCATTTGTAAGTAACGTCAGTACAGGGCAGCATTAATGAATTTAAAGTCAACTCTTAAAAATAAGCCAAATGCATGAATAAGTTTTCATCTGAGGCTCCCTAGCAAAGGAATATGGACTCTGGTGATAGCTCCGCTGTTAAGAACTGCAGACTCTTTATAAACTCTGTAAAGTCTAATTTCTAAAAGAGAAATAAATTGATCATTCATTCATTCGTTCTCCATCCTGTATGGAAAATAAGGCCTATTTTCATCTTCAAGGCCATTTTAAAGGCTGGAGAGAACGAGAGAGAAGAAGAAAAAGAAGCCGCGGAAAGATGAGCAGGAAGCCACCTAACATCACACATGTTTACACCTAAGAGACCTCGGAGGCTCATGTAGCACCTGCACCTTCCCGCCCCCATCCCTTTGCAAATGAAGATGTGTGGGCTGAGAAAGATTTAACCGTGATCTTGTCCAGCTCTCAAATTACACTGACCCGCACATTTCAATGAATCCACTCTATCGATTTTTTGGGGTGCTCTCGGAACACGAGGAGGCTTAATCAATATGAGGAATTATTAACAAGTACCACCGATCACCATCAGCTCTACCTTTGTTTGGTGGTAGAGACACCCTCAGGCACTTTAGCTTGTTCGTTAGATAAACAAAGCAAACCAGAAACTACAGCTGAGCATCTTGCGTATTTGGGATCACCACAACAGGAGGAGCTATGCCAAAGATCTTCAATGAAAGGAAAAACAGTGAGGATTCGTTTGCTCACTGTCAGGGTCAGAACTAAGCCTTGGCCAGCCTCTTCTCTAGGGTAAGGCGTGAGCATCTAGGCTTCTTCTGTGTATCTCTTCTTGCTTAATTGTGTCTCCATTAAGGGTGTATATCCTTTTCGGACTCTTCTATATTGAAGGAGAAGCAGCAGTGCAAAAAGACCAACCAAAACCACCAGCATCCCCATAAGCACTGAGAGGGTTGTGGTCCAATCTGAAGTTTCTTCAACTGAAATTAAAGCAGAAGAGAAGGGTCTATGACTGGGATTTTCATCGGCTGAATACTCTTAGACAAGGGAAGAATAAACCTATTAGCCTTTCACATGCCCTTTTGTTGATAAAGCAAAACTACACTGGCCGGAATAAAATTTATCTTCTCCTTCCTTACCGACTATTTATCATATCCACAATTGTTTTTCTGGAGGAAGTGGGAAATGGCGTTCCATTATTTGAATGTAGATTATTGCATTTTAAAAATTTCTTACGATAAATACTTATACAGGATAAACCCTCCAAGGAAGTATATAACTACTTTTGTGAGTTAGAAACTCATTTGTAAAAAAAATGCATGCTAAAATGGTATCTGGGGAACTGCAAAATATACAACCTTCAGGTCTAGAAATTCTTCTATTGTCTCTACCTTTTTTATGGGGTGATAAATGAGTAAGACAAATGAGATTGGCTATTATAACAGGAGAGAATCAATAGCAAGAGCAGAAGGAATTTGGACCCATTTAAATAGTTGTGAATGAAATCTGAATCATCACATGATAAATCCAATCCTCTATTCAAATATATTTTATAAGCACTTTTCCACGAAATTAATGGATTTCATTTTTTGTTGTTTCCTTAAAAATTATCATATCCTTGGCCAGCTGTTCTTAAATTCAGTTTCTCTGAACTGGGTTCTTGTTCTATACTCTACACTTCTCTAAATGTAAGATTGTCCTAGTTATTTCTCTCCAATCCCACAGAGGACCCTGACTCATCACAATGGTGTTTCTCCAAGAGGATTTTAATTTGTCTCCTCCTGCAGCAATCTGGCAGGATCTATTGCCATCTTCATCTTCTTAAAACACAGATTTTTATTCTGTCATTTCTTGGTTCAGGAGCCAAAAACGATTGCCTTTGTTATTGTCCAAACTCCTCTGCTTAGCTTTTCTTTAGTTACTTATTATTTTTTAATTGTGGGAAAACACACATTACATATATTTTACCACCGTAACCATTTTTAAATTAAGTTCCGTGACATTAAATACATTCATTTTTGTGCAGTCATCACCACCATCAATCCACAGAAATTTTTTCTCTTGTAAAACTGGAATAGTAATTCCCCAATTCTCCATTCCCTCCCAGCCCCTGGTAACAACCATCCTACTTTCTGTCTCTATGAATTTGACTACTCTAGGTGCCTCATAGAAGTGGAATCCTAGTTTTTGTCCTTTTGTGACTGGTTTATTTAACTTAGCATAAGGTCTTCAAGGTTCACCCATGTTACAGCATGTGATGGGATTTCCTTCCTTTTTAAGACTGAATAATATCCCATTGTATGTATCGCCCACATTTTTTTATCCATTCATCTGTCATTGGGCACTTGGGCGGCTTCCACCTTTGTTGTGAATAACACTGCTATGACCAGAGGTGTACAAATATCTCATTACTTGCCTTCAATTCTTTGAGGGTATATATATGCCCAGAAGCAGAATTGCTGGATCGTATGGTAATTCTACATTTAATTTTTTGAGGAGCTGCCATATTATTTTCCACAGAGACTACCCTAACATTCCCACCAGCAGTGCACGAGGATTCCATTTTCTCCACACTCATCAACACTTGTTACTTTCTGCTTTCTGGGTGTAGAGTGGCATCTCGTGGTTTTTGCCCAGCTTTTAAAGCGCTCAGTAACCAGGCCCTTCTCTCAAATCCAACTTTAATTCACAGTTATCTACCCAAGCCCTCCACTACAACCAGACCTTCGTCTCATGGTCCTCTAAATAGACTACATGTGTCTTTCACAGCCCTGTTCCCTGCCCTTCTTCAATCTAAAATGCTCCCTTCTTTCCCCCTCACCTACCTAAGACCTACCACCTCTTTAATCTAGTTCAAGACCCAGCTCCTTTCCCAAATCCCTCTCTCCCTTCTCCAACCTTTTGTTATAGTTATGTCTCCCCAGGCAGGATTGTAAATTTCTTTGTTAAACCAATAAATGAATGTAATTTGTATCTTCTATTGAGTTAGTGCATTCTGGGCATATTTAGACTCTTGGTCTGTACCTGTTAATTGGCTGATGCCAGAAGACATGGAAGCATGGTCAAAATGCACATTCCAAACTTTCTGATTATTATTATGTTCAATCCCAGAGAAAAGAGAAAAGTTTCAAAGAGATATCCTTAGCTGACCAAAGAACGGAAACTTCAAATCAGTAAGCTGCAGTAGATGTAGAACTGGAAGGAAAAAGAAAGGACAGGGTCCAGGGTCTGAAAGGCTTTGAAAGTTAGAGAGACAGAGAGAGAGAGAGACACGTGACCTCAGAAATCATCTTGATTACTTTGCACCAATGGGGAAATGCCACCAGCAGATAGGCCATATGATTTTCAGCTTCTTGAAAAATTTAGAGATTTAAAAAATTGTTTTACCTTCCTTTCTCAACCTGTCCTAAGATTCTTTAAATGGCACATGGCGCTATACTGGGGCCTGGGCAAATAAAAAAATATAATGCCCCGACATACACTTATCAAAACATCCTCCCATATTTTGAACCAGGTGGAAAAGCTAATAAAAAACCTACAACTTAAAAACATGACATCAAAAATTTCATTAAAAAAAAAAAATGTACACATGAAGCCCCGTGCAGCCCAATCTATTGGCAGGCCATTGTCATCTTCATAAACCCATTCAGCAGGTGTGGTACTGGCTAACTGGGGGGGAAAAAAATTGGTCTACTTACAAACTGATGCAGGGGTATAAAACAAACAAACAACGACAGCCTGTCTTTAAAATTTTGGTAGTGTATATTCATCATAGATTTTTTTGCATGAATTTGGGTTTTTGAGAATATTACTCCTTAGCTCAATTACTGAGTTTTTGGCCTGCCCTTGAACTTTGTGCCTGAGGCACGTGCTGCGTCTGCCTCACCATAAGCCCAGCCTTACCTTTATGTCCTGCTAGTACCCATCCATAGGTGGCTAGTGCATTTTGATTTTATCGCTTAGGCATTTCAAACCACGGCCAGTTTTCAATTAATGCAAGTAGAATTGTCAAATCGGGTGTAGATACTTTCCCTGTGAAATAAGTTCTCTTAACAACTTTCAATTTTCTAAAACAAGAGTCATCGAACCAGTCCCTTTTCTGATGTTTAATTGGTAGTTTAAAGGCTCATTTTGGTAAATAAAGATACTCTATAAAATTGCCAATAAACTTAACTAGACCTGAGAACTTCAATTTAAGGTCGTGGTTTACACTAAAAAGAAAGGAAAAAGGAAAGAAAGCTTCTTTAGAAGATGGACGAATCACGCATTTAGAAGTTGCATTAGTTACCTGGCAGATCAATGGCATAGCTATAGCCAAGCTGGTCTGCAGTTAAAAAGAGTTCCTCATTAGTCACCGGAGGGAAGAAAGGAACCATGTTATACATCCGATTGTGACCAATGGGTGCCAGCTCCTGAGGCCAGGCATCCGCAGGGGGATTGAATCTTTTCATCCACTCGTCAAAAACGGCATCAGTAAAGGAATGAAGGACCTGCAAGACAGTTGAACACGGTGTCAACATGGATAGGTCTGTTCCAATCAGACCAATCTGATTGGAACTTTCTCTAAAATGAAATGGGGTTGGTTCTTCTTTTTTTTTTTTGCGGTATGCAGGCCTCTCACTGTTGTGGCCTCTCCCGTTGCGGAGCACAGGCTCCGGACGCGCAGGCTCAGCGGCCATGGCTCACGGGCCCAGCCGCTCCGCGGCATGTGGGATCCTCCCGGACCGGGGCACGAACCCGCGTCCCCTGCGTCGGCAGGCGGACTCTCAACCACTGAGCCACCAGGGAAGCCCAGTCTGACTTCTCAGTGCTTTGCACTTCTTAACCCTTTTAATTGCCTTGCCCTTCTGGCTTGTATTGCTGTTGTTTATTCAGCAGATAATAGTTTCAAATCTTACCCGAAGTTTCTTGTAGTTAGTCTACCCGTTCAGGCAACAGTGAGAGCTTTCCACGTTCAGGATAGTAAAAAGAATCAAGTGATTTACTGAGGGGATTTTTTTTCCTGAATGGACTTTTAAAGTTCATGGCAGAGACAATCATGTTAAAAACCAAAACATCAAATTGTAAGACCTGGGCTTTCACAGAGAGAAAGGATTTTCTGAGTTCTGAAATCTTGGCTTTGAGTAACAAAATTTAAACCCCGGAGGAATAAAGGCATAGAGTTTATCGCATGAGCAACAACTTGAGAAGAACACATGATAGTGCTAGTGACCAATGTTTCCCACAAGAAGAGTTCAGAAACAGTTCATCTTTGAGAAGGGACCTCAGCCCTGGAAAAGGAGCTAAGTGTTAGTTGTTGGTGTGGGTCCCTGAAAACAATATCACATGCTCTAAATGCTGGAAACTCCACGTAAGGTTAAGAGGTTCCCAGAGAGGGCGATTGTGCTTCCTTCTCCAGGTGTAGCCTCGGGAGCCTGCCAGCCTCAAACAGAAGTTTTGCCTCAAGCGTGGAGACCAGGCAATAGATGTACAGTGTCTAAGTGTAGCAAGCACGGTGGGTTGCTTACCCAATAGCCTTTCTCTGCTCTTTCCACAGTAACTTCCTTTGTGTTTGGGGTGAAACAATGTGTCAAGTTATCCATGAGATTTAACTGCAAGTCATTGGATAGGACTTCTAGGACATCTCGTTAAAGGTGGTTGTCTCGCTTAAAAGTGTCCCCTTTTCCTTTTCCATCTCTGCTTGCTGCTTCCTGGTACATGGATGTGATGGCTGAAGCTGCAGCAGCCATCTTAGCAGCTAGCAAGCAAAGTTAAGAAAAGAAGCCACTCACTAAGGATGGTAAAACAGAAAGACAGAAGGTGTTCATGATGACTATGGAGCTACTATATCAGCCCTGGACCACCTGCCACTAGAGGTCTTTTACACAAAGAGAAAAATAAACCTCTTTTTTCTTTAGGCTTCTGTAAGTTTGGTTTTCTGTTATAAGCAGCTGAACCAAATGCTAAGTGATACACAGAAAAAGGGGCGTACCAGAATGTATTTTCCAAGGAAGGCCACACAGCATCTCTTGAACTTTTAGATACTGTCTGAGTTCAAGTGAGAGATCAAATTGTGATCTACGAAAAGAAATAAGAGACTCTCAGGGCATAGAAAGATGCAGATTTAACGCTGTAAGAGGTAAATAACTGGGTGAAAGCACTAGAATTAACCCAGCACAAAGTGTAAATAATTAAGGAGGGGACAACACTCTAAAACAATTCATAATTTGGAGAGATAACAGGGGAAGAGTAAGAAGGAGAGATTATAGGTCTCAGAAGGGTTGTTAAACATTATACAATAAAAGCTCTAGTAGGAACTACACACAGAGTACCCAATTTATAGAATGTAGTAAAAAAAAAAAAAAAAAAGGCCAGTGTGTGCCAAGAAGATGCAAAAAAGGCAACAGACAAAATGCTGTGAGCAACAATGTATCCAGAGGCTAGAAAGAGAAGTAGTGCAACCTGGAGACTAGGTATTTTTGATGAAGTTGTGAACATTGTTCCTCAACAAAATACCCTGAATTGCTCCTGAGAAACTAATGATATGTTTGTTGGACACAGGTTGAAAATAAGCTAAGTTAATATCTCTGAAAAGGCCAAATGTAATTTGACGATAATAAATAAAAACAAAACAAAGTAAAAGTGAACTGTTTTTGACTTATATCTGCTATAGAGATTCATAGTTACATTTTGGCATTAATAATTGAGTGCTTCAGAAATGAGGTTACAAATTTCAGTATAAAACTTATTCTATCTTGTTCCAACAAAGTGTGGATAAGTACAGGAAGAAAAAAAAAAACGCACTAAATTTCAACTTGCGAGGCAGTATTGAAGAAAATGTGATTACATGGGCTTTCGAGGTAAAAAATTTTTAAATGTAACCCTTGCAGAAGAAAGCAACTGATCAACAAATGTTGTGCTTACAGGCATAAAGAAACTTAATAAAGTACAGGGAAAGCATGCATACCTTTCTCAAGATCATTGGAGGATAAAGTTACTACCAAACTTAACCTTCATTTAAATGGCTGCAAATTCAGATTCCGGCCACATGGAATCTCGTGATGACAAGAGAAGAGTATTTGTGCCTGGAGGAACATTACTATCAAAACCTTAGGCTGACTGAAAACACATCTGTACTTTATCAAAGACCAGCTCACTGTGGTTTTCACCACTTGAGTTCATGTATTACTATCCAGAAGATGTCATTCATAATCAGAGTGGATCTTATTGTGGTAACATGATGATGCTCTGGTCCTCTAAGAATTCATATCTGAGCATTTAAAAGTCACATGATAGACACACAGTTCCATATGAGAAGCTCTAATTTAAAACTTAAGTTAGAAGTCACAAGTAAAAAGTTGGGTCCGAATTTCTAAATGAGAGAATTCCTAATGGTAACTCCCAAAAAGCATAGCTAACCATGCTTGTTATTTTATGGTATCAATAATATTTATTTATTCTTGCCTTGTTCTGTCAAGGATTTGAAGCAGTGTATAGTCAAGATGTTGGTTTTACATACCTAAATAAGCCATATGAAATAGGCATGAAATAGTTACACAACACCCAACTTCTACTTAGCTGACTAAGCTCTCCCACAGGGACGTGAGCACTCCATAGACGGCACATTCAGTGAGAGAGAAGAAACAACCAGAGAAAATGGGCATTTGAATAATAGTCTCCTGGGCTCAGCCGGGATGGTGTGTGTTTCCTGTTTTGCTATAATTTTCTCTCCCTATCCTTTTCTACCCACTCTCTCACTGCATCCTGAGCAAACAGAATAGGCATTTTGGAGGAGTTACATAGGGAAAGCACCCTTTCTGCACAAAAGATTTGTATAATAGCATTGGATACAAAATATACATATGTATACATAAAATTATACAGTATACACTGTATATAAGATATGATAGCATGCATATAAGAAGAAATATCAAGAGCATTAGGAACTCAGTTGCTATACCCTTGAGGAAGAAAGCTTGTAGTTTAAGCATTAAATTTTGAACAAATGCAAACAGAGAACACAGGAGAGTTCTGCTATTAGTATGTCAATTTAAAAGATGCGAGGTATGCTGAACTGCATACATCATAGGCAGACAATACAGGTTGAAAAGAGAGGACCAGGGTGATGTTAGAAGAGATTCTAGAGAAGAACTGAGATACTCCCAGGCCATTCAAGGCTAAGGGACCACCAAAGCTCTAGGAGAGAGGAACTCAAATGAATGCTAGAACCATCTTAGATTTGTATATAAATTACGGTTTGCTGTTATACTACTTAATTCATCAATAATGAAGTGTATATAGTTCATCTCTTAGTTACAGGTTTAGTTCTTCTCAGTACAGTATGTGTTTATCCTTGTAAAGTCTAGAGTTGAAAAGAACCCCTTCAGCTCCATTTAGCCATTTAGCATGTGCAAGTTAAAAATCAAACTATCCCTACAAATTATTGTGTATAAAATCAGCCACAAGGATATATTGTACAGCACAGGGAATATAGCCAATGTTTTAAAATAACTATAAACGAAATATAACCTTTAAAAATTGTGAATCACTATATTGTACACCTGTAACTTATGTAATATTGTACATCAACTATACCTCAATAAAAAAAGAGTAAGAGTATATCACAATAGAATGTGGTACACACTTCAGTCAAGAGTATTTCTTGTACCTAATTAAATATTATTAGAGCTTTTTAATTATTAAAAATAAAATGAAATAAAATAAAACCACCCAGACTGAGCCTATAGAAACCCTGCCACCCTGGGAGCTCCTGCCCAAGCAGGTGGCCAGCCACCCTTTCTGGCACCTCAGCTCTTGTAAAATTCACCAAGATGTTATGCTACTTAGGAATCAGTGGCTATCTATCTCAGTTATTTAAAAATACATATATTAAATAAGTAAATGTGGCATTTTAAAGTCATGAATCCTTACTCATGACAAAACCAATGCCCTATCTTTTCAAATGTCAAGGGAGGGCTTCCCTGGTGGCGCAGTGGTTGAGAGTCCGCCTGCCAATGCAGGGGACATGGGTTTGTGCTCCGGTCCGGGAAGATCCCACATGCCGCGGAGCGGCTGGGCCCGTGAGCCGTGGCCGCTGAGCCTGCGCATCCGGAGCCTGTGCTCTGCAACGGGAGAGGCCACAACAGTGAGAGGCCCGCGTACCGCAAAAAAAAAGTCGAGGGAAATTATTCAGACCTGCCTCACCAATTAGTGTTAATTCCTATCAACATGATCTAACAGGACAATGTGTCCTCAGCTATAATGAAAGCAACTGTGGAGTGATCAAATTAGAATTGTCTAAACTGACAAAAGGCAAAATTGTAGCTGGAAGACTCCACGTGGGGAAATTTTTGAGGAGAAAACTTTTCTTATAATCTCTGCTCAGCCACTTACTAGTTCATCTGATGTTGTACTCAACTCTTAGCCTCTCTGAACTTTATTTTCCCCATATTTCAAATGAGGAGAGTTGCTTACCAGACACAGTTTGTGAACGTAAAGGACTATGTTTGCA